CGACTAGTTACTGATCATGTAGACAGTGTCCTATCTAGTGTCCTATCACTATCTACATGCTCAGTCTTGTTTGAATTTAGGCCCCTGGAGTCTCTTCAACTTACATTCCCGACCCCAGTCCTGTGCTTTCTAACCTGCCTGAGAAAATGGCTACACTGCAGACTCAATGACTGGTCGTTAAAAACATGCAGTTGATAGGTAAAATGAATGGTGTTTCAAGCTATTAGTGAATATGCTTCTATTTAAGTCTCACGGTCCCACAGCTCTGTCTTCACCTTGATCTCTCTGACCTACAATCGCACAGCTCAGTCTTCCACTCCGCGAGAAAGACCAGTCGCCGCAGCAAGGCCACCTCTCTCTCCACCACAATTTACATTTATGTCCCTCACCTGCTTTTATTTATTAGCTATTTTGCATTTGGCGCATCTCCTCTGGAACCATAGACTACCATACTAGTATTCAAATGAACCTTCGTCTCATTAATGCCAGCAATTTTCCTCAGAGACAACTTATAATGTTTCCTTTGGACTGAGTTTGAAATTCTATTCAAAAATAATCAGCCTTTCCCTACTATGTTACAAGTTTCAGCTCTAATGAGTTATATCAAGCATTTCTGTGGGAAACAATTGTTTTAGCAGTGTGAATCTGTTCAGTTGTTCCTGTGGAACACAACCCTATCTTGTTTGGTTTTCTGTCAAGCATGCTTGGTTTTGGCATGTCAATCAAGAACAAACATAGCTGCAATCTCAAGCTAGCACTCTTGTTTTTGTAGACACAAAAAGTTGTTTTGCTAATAATTACTCTTTAGAATTGAACGCCTGATTGGAAGAAGAAAAAAAAAACATTCCATAATCAAAGCCATCCAACATCTCGCTATATGTCACAGTCTTCCTAATATGTACAATGTTCCTTCAGTTGATACACTGTGGCATTTTTCCTACAGTCTTCTACAGTGAAGACGTGAAATGCTGTTTTTGCTCACATGAGCACACAACCATAAAACCAACAACCTCCCAGTTTTTAAGTTTCATATTTTCATTTGCATATTGCATCCTGACATGCATGCATCTTTGAGCCCTTGTTGAAGCTCAGCACATGCGGCTGTCACCCTCCATTCTACATCTTTCTATCAGAAGGACAGTACAAATGGGAGCTGGAGCAGCAAGTGGTTTAAGAAAGGAACTTGTGAATTACCTGTCTGGTGTGGATTTGTCCAGGTACCTTGTAGCCCCCTTGACAGCTGCATTCTGAAACGCTGTAGGGGTCAGAGCTGCTGGAGGAACACTTGGAGAGTGAGTCACAGCCCACCACAAATGTGTTGTCCAGTGGGAGTTCCTGAATGACATGATGCTTCTTGGGAGCCACAGGGGTCTCTGGTTTGATCTGGAATGCTGGCTGAGGGGAAGCGGATTTGTAGTGCTTGGCTAAGTCAGGACTGTCAGGTTTGAAGGTAGTTGGTGTGGTAGCCCAGTTATACTTTCCCATTGTCTGCTCCTCAAGTTCAACAGGGAGGTCTAAGGTGCCATTGATGTGCTCATGAGTAGAGTCATCAGTCTTGGCTTCCTCAATGGTTACGAAATTCAGCAGCAAACTTTTTGGGGACCTCTTCTTCTTCTTCTTTTTCTTTTTAATCTGCCGGCCCTCCTGGTTGGGTGATACCCACTCGCCACTCTGTTTACTCTTCTGGACAACTTTGTGTCTCGGTGTCTGTCGACAGCGTACCAAAGCAGTCACAAAGATCACCAAGATAACGGTCATAGTTCCAGCTATTATGGCAATAACAACAATTACGTAGCCATTGGTCTGGGGTGTCACGTCGTTGTCCCCAATGTTCCGCTCCAAAGGAGTCTCCAAACTCTTGCGAAGTTGCTCCTGGATGAATGTGGAATTGGAGACAGTATCATTGACAAACAAATGGACAAGGGCGATTGCATGTAAGGACTCAGGCTGTCCCAAGTCCGTGACCTTTACCACCAGCCTGTGGAGACCTTGATCTGCTGCTACAATCTTCTCCTGCAGAGTAATATTTCCTGTCGTTTTGTCAATGGCAAACAGTCCTCTCGGGGACCCTCCAATAATACTGTACTGCAGCTCAGCATTCATCCCAGTGTCATTGTCAATGGCAAATACTCTGGTCACCACTGATCCAGGGCTGGTGGTTGAAGGTACTAGATCATAGGAGTAGTTTGAGGAGGGGATGACAAACACCGGTCGATTGTCATTCACATCAACAACATTTATGGTGACCTTGGCATAGGAGGTGGTTTGCATTTGACCTGCGTCCACAGCCTTGACAACAAACGTGTAGGAACTTTGTTGCTCCCTGTCAAAGGTAATGTTTGGTTTGATCACCCCAGTTCTGGGGTCGATGATGAAATTGTCCTTCCCATTTATGATCGAGAGAGTGACGACTGCATTGTCACCAGCATCTGCATCAGTGACAGTGATCAAACCCACTGTCCCATACAAAGGCAGGTTCTCAGGCACATAGAAGTTGTACTCGAGATGGGTAAAGGCAGGACTGTTGTCATTTTGGTCTTGGACTATTAGCTTCACTGTGACATTGCTTTGGAGAGGGGTAGAACCATTATCCCTGGCAATGACTGTGAATGAATACTTCTCCTGCTTCTCCCTATCCAGCCTTTTGACAACAGAAAGGATTCCAGATCGGGGATCTATGTTAAACCCATCAGGAGCATCTAGGCCAAGACTATAAATAATAAGGGCATTAGAACCGCTATCTGCATCTGTTGCACTGATTTTTATCAACTGTGTGCCCGGGTCATTGTTTTCCGGAATGGACAGCTGGATTTCGGGCTGAGGGAAAACTGGGACATTGTCATTCTCATCCTTTATTTTAATCAGAACCATTGCCGAAGTGTTCAGAGAAGGTTTCCCAGAGTCAGATGCAACTATCCTAATCGCATACTCTCGAGTGGTCTCGTAATCTAAAGGTGCAGCAGTTTCAAGCAAAAACTGGTCATTGAAGACCGGCTTCAGTCTGAAAGGTACATCATGATCAGTGTAACAAGTCACTTTACCATTCAGATCCGCATCTCTGTCCATCACAGTAATTAGAGCTATTTTTGTGTTAAGGGGGGCATTTTCAGACAACAGCACAGTGCCATTAACAAGATTCATTATATAACGGGTATCTACAGAGGGGACGTTGTCATTAATGTCTGTTACATTGACTATCACTGTAGCCCTTGAAGGGGTAGAGCTACCGTCACTCGCCAGCACTATAAGCTTGTGTACCGGGTTGACTTCCCTGTCCAATGGCTGCTTGACAGTAATCAGTCCAGTTGTGCTGTCAATAGCAAAATGTCGTTTGGTGGCAGGGGAGATTTGGTTGCTGAAGGAGAAGTGAATCTGAGCATTGGATCCCAGATCAGCATCTGTGGCATGAAGGTGAGTGACAGATGTTCCCATTGGGGCATTCTCAGGAACGTTTACCTCCACCTCGCTGTCCTTGAACACTGGCCGATTGTCATTCACATCTGAGACGGTGACCTGCAGAATAGCTGTGCTGGACTTTGGAGGGGTGCCACCATCCTCTACTTTAATTTTCATCACAAAGGTGTCCTTCGTCTCCCGATCGAGGTTGTGCTGGACTATGAGTTGGGGCCATTTGTCTCCTTCAGGCGTCTCAATGATGTCCAGGCCAAATTCGCTCACACTCTGGAAAAAAAAAATAGCAGTCTTGTAAACTCGTTGCAGTATATTTGACCAAGAACAGTACATCTTTAAAATGTTTAGCTAAAAGTCAGTAAGAGGACACCTTCACTTGATGTTTATACTTGAACTAAAATTCCCATGGTGCATTTTTCCTTTTGTTTAAGTTGTTATTATTATTGTTGTTTAGTGTGTCTATTACTAGTTTTTCTTACTTTTAATGTATGTGGAAATGTATGCTATGATAATCTCTCAGACTGAACTCACAGAAGTAAAAAACATACAAATACTAATGTGTTTGAGCCAGTCATTTATTCTGGCTTTCAACAAATGTTGGCTTTAGCTCCAGCATTAAACCTTGGTGTTGAAGTTCTTTAATCCTATGAGAAAATGCACAAGGTCTTCAAAATATTTACTTGAAAAGCCCATCCAGGGATTATGATCCTATAAAGCAAACATTGGATCCCCACACAGTAAACAGTTCCATCGAGGACCTGAAAACTAAAATATTTGCCATAAATGATGCACAGAGCACGGTTTCTCCCCCCAAAGTAGATAGGTCTAAGATGTGGTAAACAATCAAAAATAGTTTGTCGGAGAGGAAATTACCTTGTGTCATTCCATATTTACTTGGGTAAGCATAAATCAATGCTAATATTCCTGTCTGCAAAAATTACAGCAAGCCTTTTATTGACCCTTATGAAATACATTTTTTCTTCCCTGACCTTTTCTGACTCCTTAATAAGCATGCTTAGTTTACATTTTCTTAAAAATGTAAAAACCATTTGCCAGTCTGACAGAAAATTGCAGATTTAACATTCAAAAACAACATTTGCTACCAACAATTACAAGTAACAAAGCCACACTGCATCTCAAAGTTTAATAACGAAACAGTGAGTTCTAGCCCTATCCTCTTGTGTATTCTGCTTTCCTGCACACAGCTTATTGTTTTATCCAACTAGCAAGACTCTGATTTAGTGTATGGAAGACAACTTGTGCAGTTTCAACAAGTTCATATGTGAAGAAAGAAGCTGAAAAAGGAGTCAAAGAGATAAGCTTGCATTTTAAATATACTGCAAGACCACCACAGATTAAAGAAAAGTGAAAAACCTGAACATTAAAAAAGCCTTTCTCCCAGCAAGGAGCTAAATCTAGGCAACAGCAAAGCCTGAGGAAAATGAAAACAAATGCATATGTAATCCCCCTGAGAAACCAGCTTCGACTGTTTAAAATAATTGCCTTCCTACCTAACTAGCCCTAATATTTATGATTACAGATCAGGCTGCATGGTATGGCAAAACATCACGCATTCTATATTTCCGTGGTTGGCAAGCGAGGGAGACAGGGGAACAGTGCCTGAATGAGAGTCAAGCACATTTGTGAAACAAAGAGTCTCTTTGAAGCTCTTTCAGTCAAAACCATTTCATGCTAGAACAAGAAAAGGCAACTTCCTTAGGAGATAAGCTTCCTGCCTCACATAAAGCTGAGAAAGATTACTCTGTCTAGGCACATATTTCAAATGTGATTACGATACATGTATGCATTTCCCATGCCATGGTTAATCTTGAATCATTTAGTCTGGCACTAACAAACCACTTTTTATTGGCACACTGCATGCAGCCCCAAATTAACTACAATTGCAAATGACAATTTATATTTTGGATTGACAAAGTAAGCTTTGTACATGCTAAAATCATGTAAGATCCCCCTTTGGTGGTTCTTGGCACACATTAGTGACCATCTGTGGTCTACTGTCAGTACTACCAACACATGCAAAAACACACATATCAAAACGCATCCAAGTACATAATTAGCATTAAAATGGAAAGGTTATAAAAGGAACCATTTGGATGCCTACATATATTAGCACATGCAAAACAGCTTTCTTCTTCATTAAAAAGTCAGCACAATTCAACAAAAGTGACTGACGTGAAGATGTTTATGTAAGAATCAACACGGAAATCTGGGAGAAGTGGATCTGTTTGGTGCACTTGTGGTTATGATAAAGGTGAGTTACAGTTTGTCAGTTATGAATGCATGCATGGTGACCATAAGGGCTTTTTTTCATTAGTTATCTTTGATTGTTTCATATTTATACAGGGAGCTAAAACATGGATTAGTTAATGAGTCTGGTTTTAAAATGGCTAGCAATGAGGAGATCAATCATAATTTTTCAAGCCAGGCCCATAGAAAATGAGGCTGGGGAATTCTGATTATCTTTAGACAGACTCAGCTAGAGTAAAAAGAACATGAATCACAGTCCCAAGGGAAGTGACAAATGTCTGAAATTAATACAGGTAGTGCATAAGAATCTACATATTCATACCAACTGACCCATAGAGCATTATGAGAGACACATGGGATGAATCTCTTTTGTTCAAGTCGAGACTGACAGGGGATGACACTGGGTATGAGACGATGCCAAAAAAACTTGCTTAAACTGAACCCAATTGCCTGGTGCAATCAAGAAATATATGCAAAAGCGAATGTCAGTTATAAATAACCCATAGAGAGCGGTATCTTTACAGTAGAATAGTAGGAATCAGTAAGCTTCATTTTGCATAGTTCAACCCCAGAGTTTCTCTCAGCTTTGCAGACTGGCTGAAGTATCTGCTGTATGAATCAATGAGATGACCTTCTACAGCAACAACTCAGAATGAACTCAGCATCAACAACAGATAAACTGAATATTTTAGATCCTTGCACCATTGTGTTATTATGTATTATTATGTAAAGCCATAAATATTTCATTTACACTAAATTGTCTGAAAATGTCTGAAAAATCTTTTTTTGATTCACTATGCATTATAATCAGCCATTTGCCAGTAACCAAAACACAAGCGTTGTCTCCTTGGTGAAACTTTGGCCGAAGAATCAGCCAGAAATTAGGCACAAATGAAAACTGGAACCAACTGACAGGTAGTAATGTGATTAGAATCTGCTAATATATCCCCAGTGTCCACTATTGTCCAGAACAGTAGCAGAAATCAGTTTACCTTATCCACTCATCCTTCAAGTTAATGCTCTTTTACTCAGACTGATTCTCAAGGGAGTGAAATTTCAAAACATTTGGATTAATGAGCATCTATACTCTCATAAGCTAATTGTTATAATTAATAGTATTTATTTTATATACTGTAAGCGTTTCCTGGGAAACAAACCTTTTGTGAGAAGTGTCAGAACCCTTCAGCTCAACTTCAGGCAGAACAATTACCTCTTTTTTCAAAGAGGATGATATTTTATCAAGAATCAATCGCAAGCCTTTGTGGTGCAATATTCATAGAAGTGTCAGAACCCTTCAGCTCAACTTCAGGCACAACAATTACCTCTTTTTTCAAAGAGGATGATATTTTATCAAGAATCAATCGCAAGCCTTTGTGGTGCAATATTCATGGAAACTCTTTATGACATGTTACTTGTCAGCCCTTGATCATTAATGCATCATTTGACTGGCTCTTCTCATTGCCTTGAACAGAAATAACTGGAGAAGTGAGAAGTGAGAAGTTAGAGCTTAAAAAATTAAATAAAATCACACTTTCGATAAATTATTTAAGCCAAATTAATTTCTCTTCCAAGCTAGTTTCAAATCGGAATCAGACACAGATGAAAACCAAAATACTCATGAATTATTGAAATGAAATGATAACTAATTTAAGGCTGACCTTGACTCCCCAAATAAGCAATCCAATGGAGACTTTGCTGCAATGAAAGTCCTTTCGAAAGTTCTAAAATGTGACGCAGATCTAAAATGACAATGCCAGTGGTCCCAGGTGATTAAAAACACACAAATGGCTTCAAAAGGAGAGAAACGGCTTTCTTAATGTGATGTTAGAGTGCTTAAATGGCAGGGTAAAAATAACAATGAGTTGGGTGGAACCCACAACAAAAAAGTCAATATCCTCATCCCATGAGCCTGATCTGATCCACATGCCTCCAGATAGGACTTGTAAAGAGGTTCTCTTTGAGTGATAAAATCTCTTCTAATGGAAAGCCCTCCTCCAGCCATGCATGGCATTACTTTCTGTAGGCTGACCTTGTTAGTGTCCAGGGGTGCTTCTGTGCATCGTTCCAGGTGACATGGCAACACTAATGCTGATGGAACAATTAATATGGTGCTGCAATTAAAACCGGGGTAGGCAATAACGGCCCTCTGTGTCATAAGCGAGGGCTTCCTCCTTAGGGGACATGACTGGAATGAGTAAAGAGCAGAAGAGGGATTGCTATCAGAGCTCTTTCAAAACTATGCGTGCAGCAGCTGTGGCCCACAATGCTAATCTTGCAGCTCCATGCTGACAGTGAGCCGGTCTAAACCATTACTGTGTGGGAGCTTCAGAGATTTGTACTCTCATAGGACCATGCAAACGCAGTCCAAGAGGTGGATTCACGGCCAGATGCTGCTCGTGGGAGGCTTTCAACAACCTCAGAGGATGAAACATATCCTCCCTTTCCATTTCTGTTTACTTAGATCTACCCTCACCTAACTCGCATGCATGATTCATAAAAAGAAACACTACACTTGCAGACGAAGAACAAATTAAATCATCTGAAAGGCAACAGAGCCTTTACATATTTATTGTAATTTTATGAGGCAATGCACTGGTCATTTTCCAAGCACAGGCAATTGAGAGAGCCGCAGCAGGCTTGGCAGAGAGGGAGAGAAAGAGACTCTTTAAAAATGCAAATTGGTAACTTAATCAGACATGAAAAGCAAGGATTCGCCTAATTCTCAAAAGAAAAGGTACAAATTACTCTTTCACACTTTAATGACAATCTTGGGCTCTTTGTTTCACACTGTATTTGAATTTCACACTGTATTTGAATTTTAATTAAAATACAGGGCGACCTTTCTAGGGAATACTAGTTCATTCATTGAACTACGCTACGTCGTAATCTTCCGCGTTGTGACTGACAGCCCAGATGTATGTGAGAGTGCTTAGTGACTTTTTACCACTTCTGGGGTTAATGGGCCTTCTGACACTGTATAAAATGCTAAATTATATACACATACAACGTATCAGCTTCTGTATATATTTTAAAAGCACGCATATCATTATCCTACTTTTCAGTTTGAGCGGACTGTATTAAGCCTCTGAGAATATTACGCTAGTTTCTCAGAAGACATCAATTAGAAGAAATAACTATTCTCCCCATTGTTCATATCTATCTCGGTGCAATTAACAACTTACCTAACACAAAACAGAGGAAATTACTTTTAAAACCTTGAGCCAAAAACCATTTTTTATTGCTTACTGTGCTATTTTTATTCTGGACATTAAGGGCCCATTAAATGGCGGTGTCACGTAATAAATCACAGCTGAACATTGAACTCACCTTGACAAGCTCGTAGTGTTGAATCCCATTGATCCCTATATCAGGGTCAAATGCGGAAGGGACAGGGTAGCGGCTGTTGATGGCTGTGTTTTCTGGAATTGAGATGTTGATAACAGTCGATTGAAAGAGCGGGGCGTTGTCGTTGATGTCTTCGACGAGGAAGCGGATCTTGACCAGTCGGAAAATCTCGTCGGGTAGCACGGCGACCTCGATCTCGTAAAAGCAGCGCTTCTCATTGAAGACTCCGGAACAGAGTTTCTCACGGTCGATGCGGTTGGCTGTGGTGAAAATCTCTCCCGTGCTTGCCTCTACCTTGACCAAAGGCACATCACCCGTCTTGTAGACAGGTTTAAACTGCAGCGCTGAAGACAGTTTAATGTCTGGATCTAGGTTCAAGTTGAGGTCTTTGCGCAGGTTTCCGATGCGCACATTCTCCGGCTGCTCCTCTTTTACGGTGTAGTCCTTCTCTTGAGCCCGGCACATCAAGAGCAGGCAGGTGAGTAAAACCACCAGAACATGGGCCTCACTTGCCAAGTCCATACTCAGAGTAGGTGCTGCACTCTCTTCAAAGATCTGCAAAGTCTGCTAGAGGAAGACAGGTGGGAAAAAAGAAAGATGGTCATACTCACAACCGTAAAACACAGTTTTGATACAAATAGCTTTTTGATCCTGTAAAACATTAACTTTTTGAGGGAGCATTTTCGCTTTTTCAATAGATTAAAGAGATTAGTTAGCCAAATATATATAAAAAATTATGTTCACTCTCGCACCCTCATGTACTTCCAAATCTGTATGTCTTTCTTCTGTGCAACACAGAAAGGGAACACACACAAAAGGGAAAATCTGGAAAAAAAATGCAGGTTGTTCTTCTTCCATTTAATGGCAGTAATAGAGACTGAGGTTTTAAATATTTATCCATGTTCAGGAGAATAGCAATGTGAACAAATTTCTCTTGAGTTGGATCTTTTCAAATTACTCACAAAACGGTTCACAAAACTGAGCCACTGGACTGATCCGGTTCACTGTGAGTCAACTTACTGAATAAGACTACTACTAGACATAGTAGTGAATAGCTCACACAGCGGTAACACAGTTAGGGTTGCCAACCGTCCTGTATTAAAATAAAAAGGTGTCAAGCACCAAAAGCAGCCCATATTAAATGAAAAATACGCATTTTCATGCATGCTATATATATATATATATATATATATATATGTATATGTATATGTATGTGTGTGTGTGTGTGTGTGTGTGTGTGTGTACACCCCAAACAAGCAAGCAACTCTAAACACAGTGCATATGGACTACTTTTATGGTCCTTTTTTTCTTCACACTGCAAATAAATGATTTAGTATCTTTGTCTTTCAAGTAAAAATATATAAACATCTTAAAACAAGGCAGAAAAAGACAAAAGATCATTGTTTTCATTGAAATCTCAAACTAGTGAGATTTTTGTGAAAATGAGAGGGAAAAAAATACTATTTGCAAATAGTAAGAAAGAAACTTCACAGAAAATATTTTTTTTCTTCTTTTGTGTTCCAAAGAAGAAAGTCATACAGGTTTGGAACAACATGAGGGTGAGTAAATGACACAGTTTGCATTGTTGGGTGAACTACCACTTTAACCAAGTGGGGTTTTTTTTTTAACACAAAAGGTTAAAATAAATTGTTTTAACAAGAGCAATCATTGTTTAAAATGTTCAAATGCTACCAAATACAACATAAATTGCATTAGAAAGGCTTTCCAGATTTCATACTGAACATAATGGACTCTTGTATGCCATTGGCAAAACACTCAAAAGAGCTACAATGCATGTTATCAGATTACAGTATGCTGATATTCTGAGCAGCCAAGATGTGACTGTAGTGTGAGTAAGAGTTTTATGATTTAACGTTTAAGAATAAAGACATGAGTCCCAAATGACTGTCAATATCCCTCAGAAGAAATGAACAAAGCCATAATTCAAAAACACCAAGACATGATTTATGAATCAGCATTTCAGTGTTTGTTGCCAACTTGCTCGATGGCCACATAAATCCTGTCAGGGCATTATATAAATAAAAGTAGCCAGAGGGCTGAGGCTTTCACAATGTGCCAACAACTCAACTAGGTCACAGAGAACTGGTGGGGGAGATGTCTAACACTTCCAGACTCTGGGTTTTGTTAGTTTACAGAGTTGTCCATGCAGTGCTATTTCTGTTTAAATATAGTGCCCTTCACCTTAACCACATCAATAACTCTAATCTGCAAGAGTTTGACTTTCTTTTAAATCAAATTGATTGTAGTAACATATAACTAGATCATTAACAAAAGCTTTTTTTTTTCAAAGCAGGAGTATCAAATATATCTTCAGCAAATTAATTATTCAAATATAGCATGTTACTAGAGCAACAAAGAAAAATTACAGCTCATGGCATAATGTTTTTGAAATGGGATATCCTGGAAATACTGTTAACAATGACTCCCCATTCGTCAAGTCATTAATGTGTAATTTGTATGTGCCAAAAGGATGTTTGTTTAAAAGCAAAGCTGAAAGCAGCAGAGATACACGATCGTGTACCTTGAAGATTCGCTTCACACATCAAAAATTCATCACAGAGGCTGATTTATTTAAACACACAGAGAGCTAAAGGCCCCAATTTTTTAGCCACTCAAGTCTCAGCTGTCAGCGAAATGTTCTGTTTTTTTACAGTGAACACTCTGGCTGGACTGTAGGGACTCATTATAGGTTTGTTGGGCAGACGAGCACCACTCAGAGTATTTACATGACAGTGATCAATGGCCAGCTTACTATCTGCACATATTCTCAGACTGTTATGTTGTTCTTTGAAGAAAGTAGTGAAAAATGTTTTGGTTTGCTTTTGAAGATTGCACCATTTTTGAGTCGGCGAGAGCAAAGCAATTACTATTCCCCTACTGTACTCTGATAAGCCCGGAAGAGTCCAAGGCTGCATCCGACAATGCATAATGAAGAGGATTTACTGGCTAAGGAGTGCATTGCAGAGTAGTGTATAAAAGATGAAAAGACAATCTACATCTAAATAACCGCAACTGACATTAGCCGTGACGCAGACAGGCCTTTAAAACACACAATAAGGGCGACGGGACTCCTGTTCTGCAAATTCCCTTGCATTTTTAGATAATCAGTTTACTGTCAACAATAACGAATCACAGCGTCCCAGGGAGAGAGAGAACACTGATGAACCTGTATAACCCAAAATAGCACCAAATAGTGTAGACAGTATAAGCTCCAGCTCTCAGTAAGTGATGTCTGGCATTTTGTATGGAGCCCTGCTACCCAGGGACGTGGTGCTGGGATTAGACAATTCCACACGGGAGCCCACATGTCACTCCTTCCCATATTTAGGACAGTTTATGTTGTTGTGAAAACTCACAGAGCCATTTTCAGATTTACTCCTGGGAGCGATTCTTTCAAAACTATACTCTGGATGGCTTTGCAAAGCTTTGAGTTTCAACTTTCCCAATCTTTGGAAACTTGTAGATCGAGAGTGAATAAAGAGAATTAGCTGGGAAAATTGCGCTCATGGGTATCGGTGCGACTTTCTTCCTGCTTGTGCAGGGTTCCAGTGATCTATTCTGAGTGGCGGACCATGCATTCCAGGGAGTATGCAAAAGCCGTCCTTCCCTCCGGAGCCTGGAGTGAGCGGCACACAGAATTTGGAGCGCTTTACGTGACAACATGATGGACAGGCCTGCCTGTTTTTTTTATTTTGAGCTGAGCTGTCAAGGAAGAAAATAATTCTACATGTCAACCGAGTTCACGAGGAATCTCTGTCTATATGAATCAGCAGGAACCAAATGCTGCAGAGGTGGAAAAATCGATACAGTTCAACCTACCAAACGGGCATCAGATTAAAACGATCAAATTTAATACGAACGGTAATTAAAGAAAAATGACATTTCTAATAATGATTAAAGCCACTTATGGAAGTTAAACTGGGACAACTGCCTGAAGCGTGTCACTTAACTCATTTTTATCAGAAGCATCGATCTCTTTATCGGTTTAAAGAAACCCCATGATTCTTTGACATTTCGATGTCTTGTTTGAGTTCGCCCTACACCTTTTGCCATCAGCAGCTTGAGACCCATAACCCCCCTGCCAGCTGTTCGCCAGCCTACCTGCTGTCATCCTTGTGTTGTCAGGATGTCAGGCTTTTCGTCAACAGAAAACATGTTTTTTAATAATTTATTCAGCCTTTATGTATCATGAAGGCATCTTTTTTAATCAAATGATAGTGGTAATTAAAAACATCTGGTATTATTATTAAACACGAATATTACTTTTACTATTGCTGTGTTATTGTTCTGCAACATCACTATCATATTTTTATATCTTTTAATGAATTGCTCATATGTACCTGAACAGGCTAGACTGATGCATCATATAGAGTTAGGATCCTTCTGAAATTCACAGTCTGGCTTTGAGTAACTTTGATGGCGACTACACTGATCCTAAGAACCAATGATCAATTGAATGATCAATATGGAGGTATTAACATACCAAACAGGCTGCCAGTTGCAACGGATAAACAGATGTAGCGAACCCGATAGAGTCGATTTAGGGCCGTCAGCAAAGATTATGCATCCAAACAGTCATGTCTGCCATTTATCAATTTATCAAAGTTTTCATGCGGTCAGATGACAAAATAAGTTATGGCTAACTTCAGCCAAGAAGGAACCGAGAGTGATTTTCTTTACGTAAAATGGTGCGCCATGAAGCATTGAGATTTTGCTCATTCTCTGATAAGCCCGAAAGAGTCCAAGGTTGTATCCGACAATGCATAATGAAGAGGACTTACTGGCTAAGGAGTTCATTGCAGAGTAGTGCATAAAAGATGAAAAGATCATCTACATCTAAATAACCGCAACTGACACTAGCCGTGATGCGCAATAAGTGCGCGGGTCTCTCGTTCTGCAAATTCCCTTGCATTTTTAGATCATCAGTTTACCGTCAACAATAACGAATCACACCGTCCTGGGGAGAGAGAGAACGCTGATGAACCTGTATAACCCAAAATAGCACCAAATAGTGTAGACAGTATAAGCTCCAGCTCTCAGTAAGTGATGTCTGGCATTTTGTATGGAGCTCTGCTACCCAGGGACGTGGTGCTGGGATTAGACAATTCCACACGGGAGCCCACATGTCACTCCTTCCCATATTTAGGACAGTTTATGTTGTTGTGAAAACTCACAGAGCCATTTTCAGATTTACTCCTGGGAGCGATTCTTTCAAAACTATACTCTGGATGGATTCGCAAAGCTTTGAGTTTCAACTTTACCAATCTTTGGAAACTTGCAGCTTGAGAGTGAATAGAGAGAATTAGCTGGGAAAATTGCACTCATGGGTATCGGTGCGACTTCCTCCCTGCTTGCGCAGGGTTCCAGTGATCTATTCTGAGCGGCGGACCATGCATTCCAGGGAGTATGCAAAAGCCGTCCTTCCCTCCGGAGCCTGGAGTGAGCGGCACACAGAATTTGGAGCGCTTTACGTGACAACATGATGGACAGGCCTGCCTGTTTTTTTTATTTTGAGCTGAGCTGTCAAGGAAGAAAATAATTC